ATTCTGGGAGTTGAAGTCCACCTATCTTAAAGTTGCTAAGGTTGAGAAACACTGGCTTAGAATGTGCAATGGGGATTGCTTTACATTTGACTAAGAGAGAAAAAGGCCAAAACTGAAAGAATCTATATTGGGTCCAGAGGTAACCATGCTTCAAGCGGACTCCTTGAAATCAATAGGCCTTAAGTCTGCAATAGCTGACTGAAGGGTCCATCAATTCAGGAAGGTCTGTTTTGAACTAAGTGTGCACAATCTAAGGTGAAAACTAGCCCTCAGCATTTATGGTCAAGGTGCACATTTCGGCTCCAAGCTCCATTTGCTATTCAGAGATGTCATTTTTAGAAGCCTTAGGCTGTTGGCTCCTCCTGAACTCTACATCAGGGACAACACCAATACTAACAAAACGTTTGGTCACTGTTTGCCTCAATCTGATTTACAAGGCCACATGGGTTAAAAGTGAGGGATTTTAGTTTTGGATAGTTTTTTCCCCTCCAGATACTCTAAGAAGGCAGTCTTTATTATGGGGCTGTCCTTGAAGGCTCCTTGGTCGCTATAGTTGGTCCAGAATGCAGTATCTCAAATAGTTATGGGCGTGCCTCATTGTTCCTGGATAGCATCTCTACCTTGGGGACTGTATGGGGACTTTCAGGCTCAATTTAAGGTATTGGTTGTCACCTTTAAAGCCTTACATGGCTCAGGACTTAGAGATCTTGGTTTCTGCCATTTAATAGGGTCTGGAAGGAAGGTCTCCCTTTGAGTCCCCACTCTGAAAGAGTGTTATCACCCAAAAGGCTATGAAAACAGGCCTTTTTCAGTATCTATTAGGCCCCAGGTTGGCTAAAGTGATATGTAGAAGCAAAATTTCTAGCCCTCAATCAATCACGATCACAATCTTTTAAAAAAGAGACAGAGACCACCATTGATAAACTCTCATATTTACAGAGCAGATTATCATAGTGGATATAGTTATGGTACAAACTGAGAGTTAAAATTTATTTGCTCAGGCAAATTATTTACTAAGGTAGGGGACGCTTTTTTTCAGTCTGATGAAAACACTTTTCACTGAATTGTTTACCAACAGCCACCATTTGCCAAAACCTATTTTAAAAGGTAACACCTTTTCTTAGATCTTTCAGTAATAATCCTAGGTATTATTTTTGGATTTCAGCATAGTTTGCTCATGTATCTTCAATTCACTGCAACTTCTCCAGCTTCAGGACAAAAGCTTCATAAGACATCTTAATTCCAAGGGAACGTTAATCATTATTGCAGAGGCTCAGAATCAGAATTCTATCATATATGTATGTATATATATTCTGAATATATATATATATCAGAATTATATCATTTAACCAGCTCCTGTTACTCAGTTGGCTGACTCTTATTAAGTGATAAACCTCCTTCACACACGTTGCTAAGCCATTATCTGGTAACCATGGTTAACCTGATAAACCACTGTTAACGATTGGCCTAATCTGTCAAGCCATTATCCATGGTCTACGATTCACAGTGACTTGCCCCACATTAAGCCAAAACTATACAACCATGTTATATCTCAGTGCAATATTTATTTATTTATGTATTTATTAAACCAATTTATAAAATGCCCATCTCACCACAGGCGACTGGGTGGCGTACAACAAAGCTAAAAACAGTCAATAAATACAT